GGCTCCATGATTGCCTAGTTTACTGTTTACTTGGTGGGTTTAAAAACGTCACCCTGGGCAGTTGGATCAAACCTGCCTGCAGAGGCGCCAGCTCCCGCCATCCTCTTAAATGGCCACAGGCGGCGTTCAAACCAGGAAACCGTCCGAGTCAAGCGCCGTCTCTGGGTCTCTCGTCCCATGATCGTCTCTAGTTTACACAAACCAGCGCGACACCGAGAGGAAGACCCACGGCCAGCACGTTCCCTCCGCTGTCTCGTGGGCACAGGGCGTGGTCTCTACCGCCGCGGGCTCCGCCCAGTCGCACAGCCACCAGCCGGTCTCCTCACCCCGGACAGCACTCGGCTTTCAAACAGCTTGTGAAAAGAGACTGTGCCTTTCTGGGGAAAGGTGTTGCAGATTATTATTTTTATTTATTTATATTTTCAAAAAAGAGCGCGGCACCTGTATAGAAAACGAACAGATGACTGTTTACACAGCAAACAGCAGTAGAGCTACTTCCCTGTGAAATTTTAGTATCTGTTTACACACAGGGCTGCTATGAGTGGGAATCACTTGATTTTAGTACAGTAAACAAACTTAGATTCTCCCCCTCACACACACACACACCAATTTTACAAAGGGTCCTGATAAAACATGATACCAGGGGATCAGATGCCTGGGTTTTACTACCTTTACTAGCTCTGTTACACTTACAACCATGTTACATGACCTCTTCTGCCTCAACTTGCTCATCTATAAACTGAAGATGTATGAAAATTAATGTAAAGACTGTAGATCATTGACACAGTGCCTGACACGGAATCAGCCTGTGATAGAAGTCTCATCAGCATCAGGAATGGTCGCAGGAGCAGAGCAGATTTCTTGTGTAACTCCCGTCAGAGAGATGATCAACACCTCAGGTCTGCACGGATACAGTGTGCCTTGCAAAAAATAAACCCCTTGAAATCCGAGGTGGAGAGCTGACAAGAACTTGCTGGAAGATGTTTCTTCAGGGCGCCTGATAAGCAAGTTCTCCAAGAAGAGCATCTCTAAAAGCAGAGAGCTTCTG